GAGAGAGAGAGAGCGAGAGAATTTCTAGTTCTTAAGAGACGACAAGAATAATATATAAAACTTTATTCAAAAGAATTATCTCAACAAATAATGGCACAAAAAATAAGTCTAAAGTCTTATAACGATTCACAGGAAATACTATCAAAAATTTTTACGAAATGAACTGAAATAATAACTACATTTCACAATCGGACACGAAATACGGTTGCATAATATAGTGTACCCCTGTTTATATGAACAATAAGTACAGTCCATTATACCTATGCATACGTGTCATTAGATATTAAACCCGCCAATAAATTATCAAAAATATATTATTTGTATTTTAGCCAAACATCTAATCTAATCAACAAATTCTTCAAACAATTGACTTTTCAAACAAAAGTTTAATTTAGACTTTCATTGAATACACGAAACGGCACTCAAAAAACACTTATAGTAGAGACAGAAAGTCACAAAATTTCAATACCTATTGTCAATATCGTTGAGATTAGATAAGACAATGACATGTACTGTACAACACGGGGACCGGAGCCCCGGGAGTTCACACACCCATCACTATCATTGGCCACTCAATAGCGGCGGGAATATGTGGGAGAATGGGGCGCATACTCGCACATGGTACACGTACATTCACCATGGTGCAATTTTTACCGGTAAAAATGTGCGCGCGATTGCACAGGTATGGGTACACGTATGAACACACCTACCTTTCCTGGTATACAATACACTATAACAGATAGGGTAGAGATAAAGTGCCATAAAAAGGGACAGACATCTCACACACAACCACCACACAAGTCAAGCCACACACTAACTGGTGATTATCATTATTATTATCCCATAAACATCTCACTAACCACTAAACACAATGGCTGAATGGCACCCGTACTCCGGCGGCAACGTTCCCGGCAACGCAGTGGCCGGCGGTAACGACGTGAACGGCGAGACCATATACGTGGGCCGAGCGCACGAGTCCGGCGACCTGATCCCGGGCAAGATTGTGCCCTCGCATGGCGTTTGCTACGTGGCCTACGCCGGCGACGAGAAGGGTCACCGCGTGTACGAGTATCTGGTGAGCCCCGCCTACGGCTCTCTCATCTGGCGCAGCGCCGCCGACGGACAGATACCCTCCGGTGCCGTTCACGGCGGCCGCACGTCCGACGGCGAGCCGCTGTTTGTCGGCAGAGCTTATTATGAGGGCTCGTGGGTCGTGGGGAAGATCCAGAAGACCCATCAGGTCCTGTACGTGCCCTTTGCCGGCAAAGAGGTGGCCATCTCTGACTACGAGGTACTCGTAGCCGACTATTAGATTACCACATATGATGTGAGTTCACCGGTGCTGTGGTCTGATATAACATCTCTCTCTCTACCCGTGCCGTGAATTATGCACTTTTTTGAATTATTAGTTATAGTATTTAAATTATAAACCGAATATGTATTTGTTTTTAATATGTATTTTTGATTATTATTATATTTTTTAAATTATAAAATATGTTTTTTATTCAATTTTTTGATTGCAAAATGAATTAAAAAGTTTTTTTAAAGTTATATAAAAGTCTATTTATTTGGTATCAAATTTTATGGTATTTTATTTTATAAGATCAGTATAAATAAGTGTCAATAGTGTACGAGTGGTCTAATACCCCGCTATAAAGCAGTGGATGGATATCTATAACGAACTTTGTTATTGATTTAAGCCTTA